TTGCCAATTTTGGATCTCTGCACTATACTCGGTGACTGTTCTGATGTTTATACTTTTTGCGGAGATTGAATCAAAAGTAATCTGCTGTGGCGTGGATTAATGTGTAGACATTACCGTGTTTGAAGTACTAAACAAGAAGATAATGCCTACCAACCAACCAACATCGTACCCAGGGAATTTGGTACGGGAACTGATGAGTTTTCAAGGTTATAAAGCTGTATTTACAAGGTGAGGATGATTCGTTGATGATTTCGGGATTAGGGTTATGAGATACTTTCTTTGAAGTTATGCAGAGAGAGCAGCATACATGTAAATCTTGTTGTTGGCTCTAGGATGTAGCTTTTCTTTTGGTCTCCTCTTGGTGGTAGTTTGTAATATCTGGAAGGTTTGTGAATGTACATGGGTTATTTAAGGCAAGTAGGTATATACTCTGGTGGATGGTGCTTTGTTAGATTACATTTCGGATTTCGTCCTTACAGACCATACGAAAGCAAATGTGAGAATGAAATCAAAGGTGTAATCTTTCTGTATAACATAATTTACAATTCATCATTATTACCTAAATTTTGTTCGTTGTTTTTGAATGTTGTTTAGAAGCATAAAGACCTGCATATTGGACTATGTTCGAGTAATCATGAATTAAGTATATATGTTGATAGAGTAGTACACGAATATATATGATAATTTCCATAATGAATAGTTATTTTCCTGTTAGCAGTACACTGCCTTTCTTTATGCAGAAACATTTGAAGCAGATGCAGACACAGGCAGGTTTAAGCTACTCAGGTTTTCGCCTCCTGCCAGAATTTCACCAACTTGCCAAGCTGAATCTTAAGCTGATTGTGGTATTTCTTGATGAAAACATTAGCCAGATCGTTGATGTCTCCCCCTCATTATCGCTAGTGAGTTGTCTTCCTTTATGCTGTACACGACTCTTTTTCTCGGTTATCTCCTTGCTGCTGACATACATAGGAGTCTCTTTACGATTCTCCATTTTTGACGTCTGTCACAGATTTTTTCTGGGTATAGTTTACGAGCTTTGACTCGAGTAGAGCAGGACGGAGAGAAGGAGAGAAAGAAGGTAGGTTTTGTTGAATTGTTTTGTGATGAAATGATGCACTATGAAAGCTATAAGCTATTCATAGGCACAATATGCATATATGTGTATATATATTGGCTTGTATATACATTGGTTCTTTACTTGTATGCCATTTGGTTTATTCCAAAGGCATAAAGCAATGTGTATTTATTTAGTGATTGGAATTAACCTAGTCTGGACTATGAAGTTTGGAGACAATAAGCATCTCCCACAGTTCTCAACACAGTACACTTCCACCAAGGATGCCATTATTTTGATCCTACAAGATCATGTTTATGTCTACATTTTCGACTTATATAATCCTTGAATTTCATACGAGTTAATAACAATTTGAATCTAAATTTTTCTCGAGTCAGTGTCTTGGGTCCGAAAGTCATTAACATATGTGTATTTGATGCTAAGAATATTCATTATTTTGATCCTCCAACATCATATTTGTATAATTTTTGAACTTTATATAAGGATTTCAAGTTACTTATCAATAGTAATTTGAATTTAAATTTTTTAAAAATTAGTGGTTCGGGTCTAAAAATTACTAACGTGTGTAAATTTGACGAGTACGAATACGTTGAAAATATTGAGTCTTGAATTTTATATAGATATTTAAATCATTCACTATTTATCAAAAAAAATTCATAAAACTATGAAATAAAGATTGATCTCTTACATACTAAGTAAAGACTATAAAGATGAGTATAAATAATGATTATCACCATGTTTTTGTTCCAAGATTTGCAGTACTCTTGACAAATGAATTGAATACTATAAATTACTCATTGAAAACGTGTTATATATATATGTGCGTGTGTGTGTGTGTGTGTGTATATATATATATTATAATGAATCGTGAGATTGCCATCAGCAGTGTTTGTTCCTGCATGAGAATCAAAATAATTTAATGACCATTTTCATTGATGATTCTGCATGAAAATTACAAGAACCAAACAGCTCCTCCCAAGTTGCTGATAAAAATGTCTTTTTCTGTTTTTTATGTTTACCTATAAACAATGCTAAACTTGCCACCCACATATATTTATATATATATTTACATGGGTTACGAAAAAACACATGCTTTTATGGTATAGAATATATACGTTCACATCATCTTTAATTTTTTAAAGAAATTTCCCATTATCTTTATACCCTATATACATAAACTGAATCCAACCCATGAATTCAGTAACAAGTGCAGGGTCAATTCTTGAGTTTTTTCTATCCTTGTTTGGCTGGCAAGAAAATCTTGAATGGATAAGTTCAGGGAGATTACAATTCATGGGCAGGAGAAGAATGAGAAGATGACTGAATTAAAGTGGAAAGAGAAGACGATGAGAAGGTGGAATGTTGCTGTGGAGGAAGAAGAAGGTGATGTTAACAAATTAGCTGATGCTTTCATCAAGAAATTTCGGAATCAGCTCAGAGTTCAGTGTGCAGAATCATTCAATCATTTTCAGGGGAAGATGATGGGGCAAAAGGTGTAATTACAGACTTTGATTAATTAAAAATTTGATATTGTTAATGTTAATTTTCAGAATCCTTGTGTAATAAAATTTCCCAGCAGTTCTTGATTATATATATATATATAGTGTTCTTGATCATATATATAGTATTCTGGTCGTCTCGATTGTCTTTCATTTCATTCTTTTTTTTATTTATCAACTCAGAATTCCGGGTTGGAAACTTTCTTTGAAGGGAATTCTTTTTAGAGAGAAGATAGTTCGGAATTTTTAACCCATTTTAACTATTTCAATTAAGAAAATTTCGAACACTCTTTCATCCTATATAAATATTGGTATTTCGTCTCATATTATTCAATTTTCTATTATGCCTCAACTGTTTTTTCTTAATATAATGAAAATAACAACGACAACAATATAATTTTCTCAAAAATTTCGATTGAAGAATCAAATATCCCTCCACTATAGACCCCAAAACCAAATAGCTTCATGAAATAAAGTTATTCTAAAATGTAAAATGAATGGAAAATGAGCAACTGAAAAAGAAATTCTGAAGTTCATCCATCAGAAACTTTTATCACTCTCTTTGTATTTACTCAAGGTCTAGTAAGCTTCTCTATGAATACCCATAAAGAAGGGTGAGTATAACTCTTAACATACATACAATTTATTCACAGT